GCCTGAACAACATAATGAGATCCCCACCTCAAAAAGGAAAATAAAGTTCAAAGAACTTTTTTAAAAAAACATATTTTAAAGAATAAAAGAAAGGCTGGGCAGGGTGGCACACACTTGTGATCCTAGCACTCAGGAGGCAGAGGTAGGAGGACTGAAGGTTCCAGGCCAGTCAGATTTTTGAGACTCTGTCTCAAAAAAAAAACGAAAATATGACAATGAATGCATAAACAAGAAAATCTTAATGATAAAATAGGCAAAAGAACCTTACAGAAATTCTAGAGCTCATGTTCTAGAATGCTCCATATTTATCTGTTTTTGAGAAAACTCTATCAACATTTTAAAAATATTTAAGACTTTCCATACATCTGAACTATAAGAGATATTGAAAGTTTTATAAGCTTTTGAGTGATCTCTGAATAAAGGTTAAGGGCTTTATCCTTTCCTACTGAAGAATCAATGTATTATTCATTTTAAATGGAATTATTTATAAACTAGATAATCGTTTCAACATTTTATAAAATCAAAAGGTAGTGCTATATTGATATCTACAGTTTTAGAACTGTTTAAGAATTTTAATTTTCTTTCATGGTTTTCAGTATCTATCAAGAATATTTCTAGAGGGGAGAGGCAATATGGCAGATTACTGACAGGCACCACTACCTCAATCCCCACAAATCTGAAAGTAAATGTCTGGTTTGTGACTGTAAGGATAGGTGGGCAAGTTAGTACACTAAAAAAGAGGGTGCCAGTATAAAGACAGACAGTAACTACAGTTGGCAACTTCTAACTAAACCTCTAAAAAGACCAAATCTGCTTTAGGCACATGGGTGCAAACATGGACTTGTTCCATCCTGCCACTCTGCCTGAGTTTTGTTGCTTTTTCTTTTTTTTTTCTTGTCCAAACCTGAATTGCTTCTCACTGCTAAGGACCACCCTGCATGCAAAATGACCACACAGAAGGCAAAGAATCTTAGGCTAGGCATAGGACAGTAGCTGATCACCAACTTGTATCTCCTGTGACACCAGAGGAATCTGCGAACTAATCAGGTGAGCTAGTCACTTTCAGTTCTAAGAGCTAGAGGGCTACCTACTGCACAGACCAGTTAGGCAAGTGGGAGTGAATTAAACAGACCCTCAAGAAATCCTGTGGCTCAGGAGACTGGCTCTGACCCTTTGGAAAACCTTGGGATACGTGGACTGATTGAAGGCTCCCAGCCCAGCCCAGCAGGGGCAGCTGAAGCCACTCAGCCCAGTTTCTCTACAAAAGAAGGGTGAGAAGCCAACAGATTACCACAGACCATGTCAGCTCTGGGGAGCTAATCCATCAGATACCCAAGAAGTATGATGGCTAAGCAGGATGAATCTGATACTACCCCCTGACCTCCCCCAAAAACTTTTGGCCCAGCAAGGGACGGGTGAAGTCACTTAACCCAGTGTCTCTATTCAAAGGAAGGGGGAGGGCAAAAGGCTAGGTAGAACACAGCATCTGGGTCTTAATCACAGAACAAGAAGAGCTTCAAGTTGAGCTGGCCAGTTAGAGCCCTTAACCCACTTCCCAACCCAGAAGCCTATGCATATACACAAGTAAAAGAAACTATGCCACACACAATCCAAACAAAGCATTAAACTGGAAGGCTATGAGGAAAGGGAGGGGAGGAGAGAAAAACTTCCTCAAGGACAAGCCAGAGCAGCCATTGAATTCTCTGAACAGGGTAAAATGCAGGCTCTGAAAGTGGCAGAGTACATTATAATACACTAGCTGTGCTTGGAGAACCCATACCCAACCACAACAGCTACCTTACACACCTGGAACTGCCCCACCTCACTCCAGCAGCTGTCCTAACCCAGGATCTCCCCTCCTCCAGGTTATACCTAGGCAATCCAGAGCCCTTAGGGAACACATGATTAAATACAATAGCAGAACTGCAGGACAGAACCCTCCTATCCTTCTGCAATCTTAACAATAGCACACTTCTCCACAGTAATTGAACTAAACCTCTGCACACTAGGGTCTTGTTTACTTACAGCTCTCACATATCACACCCCCTTCTTTCCATCTTCCTTGTTCCTTACCATAAAAGAACATTAGTTCCCTTCAACTCTTACTGATCCTGTCAAAGGCAATCTACTTCATTTAAATATCTGGTTTGGTATTCAATTGGTGAATTTGTTGTTGCTAAGGTGTACCCCCCAGGTCAGTGGTCAAAATGGCATAACAACCTAGTCAATAAGCAATTCTACCAGAAAAATCCAAGGGAAAGACTTAAGGTGACTAAAACCCCCAACCAATTAATTGACAACAGATGAGCAAACCTCAAAATACAGGCATGAAGAGTATGAAAAGGCAGAGTAATATACCTTCTCCAAAGGTCAACAATCACACAACAAAGAATCTGATGGATATTAAGGTAATGAAATCTCAATTTCTGAGCTCAAAAGAATGATAAAACAAGATGAAAGACATGAAAAAACAAGTCAATGAAATTAAAGAGAAAAACCAATAAACAGCAAAATGAATTCAATGAGAATGCAAAGAAACAACTAAATGAACTTAAAGAGGATACAAAGAGCTGAATAAATTCAAGGAAGATACAAATAAACAGCAAAATGAAATAAGGAAGACAATGCAAGACATGAAAGGGGAATTTGATAAAGATATAGAAAACCTCAAAAAACACCCAAATTGAAGCTGTGGAAATAAAAAGCTCCTAAAGTCAAATTAAAAATTCAGTGAAAGTCTGTCTAGCAGACTGGAGCAAGTGGAACTCTAAATTTCAGGGCTTGAAGACAAAGTAGATGGAACAGAAAAATAAATGAATACATTAAAAACTAAAGTTGAAGACACATGAATGTAATATGCAGGAACTCTGTGACTCCAGTAAAAGACGAAACCTATTATGGCTATTGAAGATGTGCAGGTTAAAAGCATAGGAAATATATTTCAACAAAATAATAGCAGAACACTTCCCAAAGCTTAAGAATGCCCATCCAAGAACAGGAGGCATCTAGGATTCCAAACAGACACAACTAAAATAGAACCTCTCCATAGCTTAAGCACAGAGAACAAGGAAAGAATATTGAAAAGCACCTATAACAGCAAACCCATCAGAATAATAATTTCTCAATGGAAAACTTAAAAGCAAAGAGGTATTTCAAGTGCCAAAAGAAAATAATTTCAAACCTATATTACTCTACCCAGTAACTCTTTCATAACTGACAAACAAATAAAAACCTGTGATAAACAGAAACTAAAGCAATTTAGGGCCACTAAACCAGCACTCTGGAAAATACTTGAAGAAATCCTACACAGAAAATAAATGTTGGCAAGGATGTAGGAAAAAGGAACCCTTATACACTCTTGGTGGAATGCAAATTAGAACAACCACTATGGAAAAGGACAATGGAGATTCCTCAAAAACTGAAAACAGAACTACCACACTATTCAGTGATACCACTACTGGGCTATCCAAATGGATACTTGCACATCCATGTATATTGCAGCACTATTCACAGGAGCCAAGATATGGAAATAGCCCAGATGCCCTACAAAAGAATGGATTAAGAAAATGTGATATATATATCATGTGTATATATATATATTCACATGATATATATATATCTCACAAACGCACACATTATATATACACACATATGTATATATATAATGGGGTATCATTCACACATAAAGAAGAATGAAATTAATCATATGTAAGAAAATGGATGGAACTGGAGATCATCATGTTAAACGAAGTAATAAGCCAGGTTCACAAAGATAAGGGTCACATTTTTTCTCCATAAGTGGAAGACAGACCCAGAAGATAAATGTATACACAACACATCATGTATATACCCATATTTACAACATGTTTGTAATAGTGGGACTGTTTGAGAGGACTAGGGGTAGAAGGGAGAGGGAAAAAGAATGATAGAGAGTGAGTATTATTGAAATACACTGTATCTATAAAGGAAAAAGGCATAACAAAACGCACTGAAAGAAGTTGAATAATAAGAGTAAGGGAGAAAGGATATGGAAGAGTAATAGAAGAAGGTTAGACTGATTAAAGTAATAATTCACAGTTGAAATACCATGGTGTACCCCTTTTTAACAATGAATATACATTAAAACAAAAAATGAAGGAGAAGAATGTAAACAGGTCCTGTTGGGGTATAAGTATAGTGGGAGAGGAAAGTGAAGTGGAGAAGTTTAAGAAAGGTGAGTATGGTCGATGTACTTTATATACTTGTATGAAAATGAAACCTACTGAAATATTTTAAGTAGAGGAGAGGATTAGGTAAAATGATGGTGGGATGAAACTAAGGTACATTGTAAGCACATATGGAAATGCCACAACTAATATATATGCTATTAAAAATGTTTTTAAAAAGATATTTTTGAATTATTTGAGTTTAGCATTCATTGTGATTAATGAAATTTGCTTGACAAAAAATTCATTCTGGTACTATGATGTATAAGTAATTTTAATACTACTAAGAATTAACTGAATTATAAATACCCATGGACTTATAAAATGACAGGCAATTACTATTAATTTTTCACTTTTTCCTTATTTCTGATTTCTTAATGGCTAGCTACTTTAAGCAGTTTAAATGGATTTTGCTATTTTGATTCCTTGTATTATCATAAGAACTAATAAAGTATTCTTTCTCATTTGTAGTAAGGACAACACATACTATGGAATCACTGACTTTGGGATGGAAGTATGGTTCAAATGGTAGAGTGCCTGCCTAGTAAGCACAAGGCCTTAAGTAGTTCAATCCTCAGTATTGCCAAACAAACAAATACCTATAGTTTTCCAGACAGTTTTTTTAAGTACATGCTAGTTTTATACCTAATGGTATTATAAATCTATATTTCTCAGTCTTACACATTACAGAGGGAGCAAGTAAACTGCCCACTACCTGGTAATAGCCATTGTACTATTTTACATTTACACAACTACTTAGGGTAATATTAATTGAAATAGAAAAAAGTTACTTACTCAGTTATAAATTCAGGGTTTGTAAAGCTGAGGTTCGTTAAATGACCTTCAAGTTAGAAGATCATGCATGTTTTAAGGCCGGATGGTGAGTACAGCTCTTTTTTCATCTTTCTCAAGTGCTTTTCTCTTCCCACCATTTTGGAAATATTCTCTGCATACACTACAAGTCAAAATAAAGCTTTAATTTTAAATACTGGATATGATGATAAAAAATCTGCATACACTACAAGTCAAATAAAGCTTTATTTTAAAATACTGGATATGATGATAAAAAAATGGAAAAACATTTGCTTTTATTAAGCAAAATGGGAAAACTTTAAATTAGAGTCCTGTTTTTAAAACGTCAGAGGCAAGTTTGAGCACTTTATAGCACATATAAATCATTAAAATTACTACACTACAGAGAATGAATCTTATATTATGTTTAATGAAATATATAATTTTATGAATATATATTGTTTAATAAAATGTATGCATTTTATTGAATTTTAACTACATATAAGTTCATCTAGCAAAGCTTAGGTAACATATTCAGTGACAGCATCTAGATATAACAGTAATCAAAGTTAATCTTGAGCCAGTTTTGCTAGTAGTATGCAGATAAAACCAACACTTTTTTCTAAGGTCTTTAAGTTTATATGACAAATTAGGATATAAACACATTAAGAAAATCATTTCTCTTGCAATGTGCAGTGGCTCACCTATGCCACTTGCAAGAAGAGAATGGGAAGAACTTGGTTCAAGGCCAGCACAGTTTTTAAAAAACGTCAGAGGCAGTTTTGAGCACCTTTATAGCCCATATAATCATTAAATTAACTACCTAACACGAGAATGAATCTATATTATGTTAATGGAAATATATATACAATTTTATTGAATATATATTGTTTAATAAAATGTATGCATTTTATTGAATTTTAACTACAATATAAGTTCATCTTAGCAACAGCTGGTACCACTATTCAGTGACAGCATCTAGATATAACAGTAATCAAAGTTAATCCTGAGCCAGTTTTGCTAGTAGGTAATGCGATAAACCAACACTTTTCTAAGGTCTTTAAGTTTAATGATGACAAAGTTAGGGATATAACACATTAAGAAATCATTTCTCTTGCTAAGTGCAGTGGGTCAACACACCTATGCCACTTGCAAGGAAGAGAAATGGGAAGAACTTGGTTCAAGGCCAGCACCAAGCAAATGGTTGGAGAAACTATCTCCAACCAATAAGCCCATGCAGAGTGGTACATGCCTGCCATTCCAGCTAAAACAGGAAGTATAATAGGAAGAATTATGATCTAGGCAGGCCCATGCAAGAAGGTGAGACCCTATAGAAAAAAATAAATAAAGTGGGAAGAATGCAAAATGGCTCGACAGGATAGGATAGGGAATCAGAATCTTGACTCCCATTCATCAAGAAACCACTTCAAGATGTGGAGCTACTTTGGGTAGTTTCTAATTCCTTTTCAAGCAAACTTATAACTGCCAAATACATAGGGGTGCAACATAAAATCCAAGGACTGACCATTAAAAAAAACTTTTAAAATGTATCTAACAGCTGGGGAAATCCCAAATGTGGGCACAGCCACTAGGGCACAGTCTACATGGGAACAGCCCTCCTGGCCGTTTCTTTCCTTGTTTCTTTTTTTTTTTCTTTTTAAAATTTTTCAAAAGCAGCAAAGGTAAGAGCAATCAAACAGAACCAAACCCTGTGACACAGTGGACCCCAAGCTCATGATAAGCCCCAACTGGGGGTTGAACACCGTTCAAGTAAGGTCAATTTTGCTTTCAGAAAAGCCACTTTCCGTTTCTCCCCGCAGACCAATTTCACAAGCTGCCCTGCAATACCTAATCTGCAGACCAAAAGGTGAGCAACACACACCACAGCACACTCCCTCCCTCCCCCACACTTCCCGGGAACATAATCCAGTGCAGTTCCTGGGCAGACTGAACCCTATTCTCCCCTCCACCCTGCTTCCGCCTCAAACAAAACTGAAAAAACAGACAGTGAATGGTTATCCAACCATGACAGTGGGGGGTGGGGTGGAACACTGAACCAACCTCAAGAGACTGGGGGTGGACAAGGAGTTTTGGAACTCTCCAGCTAGCAGAAAAAGAAGGCAGGGCAGGGCACGGAATAAAAAAGGCTGAGAGCCCAGGCCTTGGGGGAGCTAAGACAACCTCCTAGAGGAGTTCCTAGCAGATTGCTGAGCACGTCTCCTGGACTGAGGGCGATGCACAAAAACTGAATCGCCCAATCTTACTGGGGGAGGAGCTGACCAAAAGCCAGAGTTGCAGATGTAGGGCAATGCAGCTCCACTGGCGAACACAAGATCGGACCACCTTGCACAAACCGGTAGTGGGCGCTATCCCAGGTCCCAATTGCAAGCTGCCTGTGGACGAAGGAATCCAATATGCCTCCTCACAGCCAGCCAGGTTGTAACAGATGGCCCATAAGACCAAGGAAAGCAGGAAAAAAACCTCTAGCCACTCCTCCAAGGTTCCAACAAGAGGGGCAGCACCGTCCCCACGTAACCCAGAATATCACAACCTTGAGAAGAGAAGGAGCATGGAATAACTCCCATTGTAAGTGCCAATACCAGGATTGGCTTGCCAAAGAACCAATCAGTTCGCTGACGATCATATTTTGGCTTTGTTGGTTGTTTTTTTCTTTTTTCTTTCTTCTTAGTTTTCCCCTCCTTTTTTTTAAAATTTAGGATTTTTCAATCATAATTACAATTGTTTAACCTGTATCCTTACCCGCACACTTCACTTTCTCTCCTTTTCTTCTGCTACACCATTGTTTCTACCCCAACTACTTCATTCTTTCCCTTTCATACATTCTCCAACTTCACCACCCTTCCCTACCTCCTCAACACTGCCACTCCCTCCTCCACATTTACCACCCACTGATTCGCCTACTGTACCAAGCCGTACACAAGCCCAAGCTCTCTGCAAATCCCTGCACAAAGCACCCTCTACCACAACAGCTCAAAATACGACCCTAACACACACCAAAAGGCCCCAAAACCCTGTAGCCCCCACACCTCTTCCCCAGTCACATCCCCCTTTCCAACCCGCTTTTTATCACCACCTTTTCAAATTAGCCCCACATTTCTAATTCTATCCAAACAACCATGTACCCTCTCCCCTAACTGGCCACTGTTTTTACAGATATTATCACCAAGAAGTTCTCTATGTAATATGGTAAAAAATGGTCTGGCAAATTGGAATCTGTGAATTTTGTTATTGCTAATTTGTACCTTCTTCAGGACAGGGCACAGAAGTTAAACACATCAACTTTTGCTAACACTAAGACAATCCACAATACAATATATTAAATCCAGGGGAAAGAAAACAGGCAATTGACTGTTTGGCCAACTAGCCAGTCAAGATCATAGCGAACACAGCCACAATAGGGAGAAGAAGGAGGCAAGGAACTTCTAACTTTTTCCCCCTTATAGAACAACAAATCAAATAGAGGATTTAGGGACAAAATGAAGAAAAATGAATATCCAGTTCCTTGACCCAACAGAACAAGATAAATATCACAATGAGCTCAAGCAAAGGGCGCTCAGCAAAGTCCATAAAAAAATCTCTCAAAGAGGAAATTCAAGGACAAAAATCATTTGAAAAACTCCATTGGAGAAGCTATAAACACAGTTAAACAAAATATACAAGATGAACCTCAAGAAATAACAAGACACCACAAATAAAAAACTTGAGAAAACAACTAAATGAACTCAGAGAAGGACTTCAACAAACCTCACCCAAGTGAAACAAAGGAGGGCTATAAAAAGAAATATGAAATAAAGAAGACACACAAATATGAAAGAGAGTTGAACAAAGACATGGAAAACCTTCAGAAAAAGAATCCTCAGAAAAAAAAGTTCAGACTGATGGATCCTCTACAGTAATTCTACCAGAACTTTAAAGAAAAACTAATACCAACATCCTGAAACTTTTCCAATGACAGAAGAAGAAAGGACCACTGCTAATTTTTTTATGAAGCAGTATTACACTCAATTCCCAAAACCAGACAGGGTACACATCCAAAAAGGAGGAACTACAGGCAATCTTCTTAATGAACACTGATGCAAAGATCCTCAATTACAAAAATAATGGCAATCTGAATCCAACAACAAAGAGGAAACAATCATACATCATGACCAATTGGGCTTCATCCCCTGGATGAAAGAATGGTCCAACATACGCAAATCATTAAATGTAATTATTTAATTATCATTTTACTGCACAATTAGGCAGAAGCAAGACAAAACCTTTGATGAGCTACTGATTATCTCAATAGGACACAGACAAAAGCCTTTGATAAGATTTCCACACCATTTCATGATAAAAGCTCAGAATGAAACTATCGGAATAGAAGAAATGTACCTCAACTTTGTAAAGCTATATATGACAAACATACAAGCCAACATTATACTTAATGAGGAAAAACTGAAACCAATATTCCTAAAGTCAGGAAACGAGACAGAAGTGCCCACCTCTCCCCACTGCTATTTCAACATAGTCCTGGAATATGTACCCGAGCAAATAAGGCGAAAATAAATAAGAAGAATAAAAGGAATACAAATAGGTAAAGGAAGTAAGTCAAACTATCCCTAATGCACAGATAACAGATCTTAAAAACACCGAAAACTCCACCCAAATCCTCCTAGATAATACGGCTTCAGCATATGTAGCAGGAACAAATCAACTTACAAAATCAAGTAGCCTTCTGTTAACTCCAGAGGCACCTGCACATCCCATGTTTATTGCGGCACTATTCACAATAGCCAAGTTATGGAAACAGCCAAGATGCCCCAGCACTGACGAATGGATTAAGAAAATGTGGTATCTATACACAATGGAATTTTATGCAGCCATGAAGAAGAACGAAATGTTATCATTCGCTGGTAAATGGATGGAATTGGAGAACATCATTCTGAGTGAGGTTAGCCTGGCCCAAAAGACCAAAAATCGTATGTTCTCCCTCATATGTGGACATTAGATCAAGGGCAAACACAACAAGGGGATTGGACTATGAGCACATGATAAAAGCGAGAGCACACAAGGGAGGGGTGAGGATAGGTAAGACACCTAAAAAAACTAGCTAGCATTTGTTGCCCTTAACGCAGAGAAACTAAAGCAGATACCTTAAAGCAACTGAGGCCAATAGGAAAAGGGGACCAGGAACTAGAGAAAAGGTTAGATCAAAAAGAATTAACCTAGAAGGTAACACCCACGCACAGGAAATCAATGTGAGTCAATGCCCTGTATAGCTATCCTTATCTCAACCAGCAAAACCCTTGTTCCTTCCTATTATTGCTTATACTCTCTCTACAACAAAATTAGAGATAAGGGCAAAATAGTTTCTGCTGGGTATTGAGGGGGGGGAGGGGAGGGGGTGGAGTGGGTGGTAAGGGAGGGGTGGGGCAGGGGGGAGAAATGAACCAAGCCTTGTATGCACATATGAATAATAAAAGAAAAATGAAAAAAAAAAAAAAAAAAAAAAATAAAAATAAAAAAACCAAAAAAAAAAAAACCATCAGTAAGCCTCCTATACCAACAAATGAGCAGATTGAGAAAGAATATAGGAAAACCATTCCATTTAAAATAGCCTCAAAATAAAAATCAATACCTAGGAATAAACTTAACAGGATGTGAATAACTCTACAAGGAGAACTGCACTGCAAACCACTGAGAAACGAATTGAAGAAACTATAGAAAGTAAGAAAGATTTCCCATGCTCAATGGATTGGCAGAGTCAACAAAGTATGAATGGTACAATCACCAAAAGCAATCTACGGTCCAACACAATTCCCATCAAAAATCCCAAAAAGACCTCAAATAGCCAAGGCAATCCTTAGCAAAAAACAGCAATACCGGAGGTCATCACAATACCTACTTCAAACTAAAGGTAATCACAATACCTGAATTCAAACTAAAAGCCACAGCAATAAAATAGTGTGGTTACTGGCAAAAAAAAACCCCACAAAAACAAAAAACAACCAAAAACAACAGTTATGAAGAACCAGTGTAAACAGAAATAGAGGACCAGAAATCTGACCTACACAGCTATAACCCACCTAATTTTTGACACCAAAAAAAAAGGTTCCCCAAAAAACCACATAATAGAGAAAAGGATAGCCTCTTTCAACAAATGTTGCTGGTGAAAACTGGGTACCTGCTGCAGAAAACTGAAACTAGATCCATGTTCTGTCACCCTTGTCTAGTAGCAATTCCAAGTAAGATTCAAGACCTTAAAATCAGACCTGAAACCTTGAAGCTAGTACGGAAAGAGCAGGGAATATTCCTGGAAGCAATAGCCATAGGCAAGGACTTCCTCAGCATCTCATCAACTAAGAGAAAGGTGCAAATGGGCTAAATTGTAATCAAAAAGCTTCTGCACACAAAAGAGATGTTTCTAAATTGAAGAGGACAAGAACAAGTGGGAGAATAAATTTGCTAGCTCTATATCATACAAAAGGACTGATAACAATATAATAAAGGAGCTCAAAAACCAACCTCCAAAGTATCAATGAACCAATAAAGAAATGGGCAACTGAACTAAAAAACGAACTTTTTCCAAAGGAAGAAGTTAAATGGCTAAAAAACTAATGAAAAATGCACACCGGTCCCCGCCATAAAGGAAATGCAATCAACCACTTACACTAAAGATTCCAACTTTACTCTGGTTAGAAATAGCTATCATCAAAAACACCACTCACAACAAATGTTGTGAGGATGCAAGGGAAAAAGGCACCCCCACCCACTGAGGTGAATGTAAACTAGTACAAACCACTTGGGATATTAGAGGCTTCCTTAAAACTAAACTAGACCTGTCATAATGATCCAGCCATACCACTCCCTAGGGATATAACCCAAAGGACATGTGACTCAGGTTATTTACACAGGCACCCTGAACACCATAGTTTGTTTGCAGCACTATTCATAGAGCCAACTATGGAATAGCCCAAGATGCCCCACTACTGACCCAACGGATTAAGAAAATGTGGTATTTATACACAATGGAAATTTTACTCTCAGCCACACAAGGCCAGCCCATGAAATTTTGACATTCGCAGGTAAATGGATAGAACTGGAGAACATTATCTTAAGTGAAGTGTCAGGCTCAAAAGGCCCCAAATTTGCACTGTTTTGTCTCAAATGCTGGCTACAGACCTAAAATAAGTGCAAGCAATATTCTTGAGATAGGTCACACGTAAGGGAAACTGCGCACAGGAGAAGTAGAACAAGGGAAAGAACAAAAACTTGACATATGGCTTCATGTGCTCACTAATCTTAAACTGGTTAAGGCATGGGAAGTGGACTAGGGAGTAGTCAGAGAACTGGTAGAGATCAGCCAGTTTTGGGTTATAATAAGCAATAT